TTCATGCAGACTTTGTGAGGCCCTGTTACAGATAGGAATTAAGGCTCAACAACCTAGCAAGGTAACATCTAAAAGCCTTTTATAGATGGGTGAAGGTGAAGCAGCAAAGGTGAGCTACACATAATTTAGTATTAGGTATAAGTATTTTGGCAAGGGATAAGATTTTTTATCTTTTTGTTAGAACAGTACGCTCCCTGCTGTGCCAGCAGTTGTAATGGTACAAAGGTATGTTATAGTGGTAAGATTTGCCCAACATGGGCATATTATTCTGATAAAAGTACTTGAATGCCAATATAGTTGTGGTAATACTAGAGTTTGTATAGCTTTACTGAACTGGTAAAGTTGAAGCAGTGCAACCTTGGCAATATAGATAAGGACTAAGTATCTTATCCAAATATATGGAGTAAGTAAATGACTGATCTGGGAATAGTACACAGCAGTCTTCATTCCCAAGCTGCTTTTCAGATTGCCTGAAACTATTCTGTTCACATTTCTTCTCACCAAAGGGTAACACAGAGCATCATTGTTTGTCAAAATGTCATGGTTTAAAAAGAGATGCCACACGTTTATTTATAAAAGCAAGTGAAACAAAACATTAGAAGGAATTTGTCTCCTGCATGTTTTCCTTCCAATGACACCTGGAATTCTTGTGTGCACTTCTAGAGGAGTGAGTTTAGTTGGGCCTGGCAAAAACAGGTATTTCTGCAGAATTACTTCCGATAGTTTGGGGGGATTTTTTAATCTATATTTACCAATGTAAATTTATGCAAACACCAGCATATCCATTTGTCCAGTGAAAGTACAGCAGAGGCTTCTCAGTATACATCTAACTGCTTGTAATATGTAAAGCATTAGAAATGGCTCTGTCCCTGAGGGATTTCATGAAGCCTTGGATGTCAGGTTTCCTCTCCATGTAGGCGTGGGACTCAGCACACTGAGCCCTGCAACGGAGCCCTAATAAGAGACCAACAAGGAGGAATGGGGTTGCCAAAGGGTCTGACATGGGAAATGAGGGGACAGGGGATAAGGAGAGGTCTTGGAAAGCTGTGTAATATCATCCAACAGGATAGCAGGATGTGCAGCAATGACAAATGAAAAAGCAACAGGCCTTTATTGGGCAAAGTGATAGGGCAGATCCACAGCTGCACCTCCTGTGAAGGTTGTTTTAGTCATGTTGCTTTAGTTCTGTAGCTCTACATCCCTGTCTGGGCTACCATATACCTCACTGTTGTAGCAATTCAGATAACAGGTATTCCTGCTATCCTCTTCAGATTAGCCTTTGCAAGTTGTCTTCCACACATATTACGCCAAAACTTCTTCACTCCCCGTGGAAAAGCTATATGGTAAGGCAGGATAGCCATGGAGCTGCTCTCTCCAAGGAGCGTAATGAAGCAAGACCACAGAAGCTGGTGATGTGAGAGTCACTTGAAGTAGCTGGGATAGGCACAGACTGCTCTTCAGCTGAGCCAGACTGAAAAATTTCAAGACAGTCATTAAACCCAAATTAAATATTTCTGAAATTCAGAATATTTTTTCTTTTCAAACCTAATTTTCTGTGAAAAAAACTGTTAAATCAGTATTTTGGGACAAAATTAATTTTGAATTATCTGGATTTCTCTTGGGAGGGAAATTCTGCTTTTCAATGAGCTAGAAGTGATGTATTTCAAAATTCCCAGGCAACAATCTTATATTGGTATTTTTAATTCTGAGGACCATTCCCATGAGTTTCTAGTGTTTTTTAAGTAGGTCAAATTTTGAACACAAAAAAAACCTAAAGAGTTATGCCCCTTTCATCTTTTCTTAGGAGCAATAAGCCTTTTTGATATTATTGCTGGCTTAAATATTAAACAGGAAGCAAATTACATTTCCAGCCATTAAAGTACAATAGAACAGCTCTATTGTCTGAATCAGTGCAATATTGGGTCAGATTGTCGCAAAATGCTCGAAAATGAAGTCATATTCAAAGAATGCAATAAATTAGACTTTTTATGCTTTTACTATGAACTCTGTCTGATGAGGGATTATTTCTCCATTCCTGCCAATTAAGGTAGGACATTCAGCCCCCAAACCTTGAATTCAGTAAACATCTATATGGAATTTGATATTCATATGCATAAAGTTGCTAAAAAATGTAACATTTCAACGTTGCTGTTTATGAGAATCCAGTCTTACCAGTCCTTTTACTGTGTGACCAGACACCTTATTTTTAACATCTGTTTCAAATGACTCCACAAATAGAAGCATTTTCTTGCAACTCTATTAGCGTGAAAGGAATTGTTCCCTATGGGATTTTAGCTCAAGCAGCACAGAGGTGTAGATCTACAGAGTGGCCTTTTGTTATAATGCTCTTCTCGTCAAACCTCTGCTCATAAGAATGTAACGCTGGGACAGACCTAAAAGATCTTGCAGGGACAAGCGTAGGCAACAGTTGACAGTATCTGACACCCAGTGCCTGGGAGTCTCCCAGGGTGGTGTCCTGACTATATTTGTCATCTCCAATTTGACATGAAACCTGACAACACAACTAAGCAAAAGCTGGAAAATGCTCCTACTTAGGTGATATGCTACCGCGGAGCTGACTGGCTGTTGCTGAAAGACCTGGGGAGGTTTGGGTTGTTTCTCACAGATGCTTTGTTCGCAGTGTTGCAGTTCCCAGTCTGTCCCAGCAAAGCAAGGCAACACGCCCCTCAAATCTTCCTGCTTTGCTGGGCAACTGTCCGGAGCCTGGCTGGCTCCAGTCTGTTGTAGGTTTAAAAGCATTCAACATCGGGGATCCTATGGCCTCCAAAGACTCTGTTACACAGCTGAAACCACAAAGGGCTCTCCCAATATCTGAACTAAAATGCTGCTGTTACCTTTTGTCTTGACACAGTGGATTTGGAGAACAATTTATTTATCTTCCTCCACAGTAATTCTACTTATTGCTAGAACTTGGTACTGTTCCCCTCATTCTTTTGTCCCTTTTCTAAACAAATCTAGTTCTTTTTCCCTTCTCTTGTTGGCCACGTTTTCTAAGATCATTACCATTGCCACTTCAAAGATTTCAGTCTCTAATCTTTAGAACCTTTTTTAAATGCAGTGTCTGAAACCAAACACAGTATTCCAGCTGAGGCCTCCTTGGCACTGAGTATAGAAGAACTATTTCTCCCTGGGATTACTTTAAGTACGACTCTCCTGTTTGGATACCCCGGAATGAGATTTACCCTTTTCACCTTTATTTTTTATGTCCTTGGTGATCTATCCTGACCTCTTCAGTCCTCTTCTATAGTCTTTTTGCCTTCTTATTTATTCCTGTTCCAGGAGGAAATTCCTTAACTCTTTCTATAATTGATTTATATTTCTACACCATGCTAAGCAATTCTATTCAATACCAGGTTGTTGGTTGGATCGCTTCCTCAAATTATCGCAATTGGTTCTCATCACATCCTCTGGGAGCTTTCTTACCACAGATTTTAAAGGCATCTCACAGTTGTCAATGATGACATCAAAAATAAGCAGACCCACATCACTACTGGAAATACTGTTCCCTCCTTTGTCAGTAAATCACCGATAACTTGTTGGGCATTTCTGATACAACTGCAATTCCCACCAGAAATGCAGCCTCATGATCCATGGTGGACAATAAATGCTGTTCAAGGAGAGGAATTTCCTCTTCTGCATTTCTTTAAAATCCCCTGTCCTTTCACAGTGTGCCTCATAAGTATCCATCCACATATTTATTCATTGCCACTTCTACCTGTTGTTACCTGGAGTTACTAGCTGGGAGGTACCTGCTCTCTAATGGTCGCATCATTTCTCACTCAGTGAAATAACTCAGCTAGAGGAGCCTTCAACTAATTCTCGATACTTAGTTACAGGCTGTGAAAGATTTATGTATATGAGGTGTGCTCGGTTTTACCGTCAAGCATCACTGTTTTGACAGCCCAGATGAAGTTCCAGGTATAACATTATCAAACAGAATATGCCCTAGAGAAATTATTTTTCTAAGTATTTTATTTCACACTCAGTCTCAGCTTAAAAATGCAGAACAGGCCACAAGAAATGAGAAGGAAATTAAAGCTTTGATTCGGCACAGAACCTCAGCATATGCTTACATTCAAGTAGCTGTGCAGTCAGTTTACACCCGTGCTTAAAATCCAAGTGCTTCACTACAATGCTGAGCTGAGTCTTAGGAGGGTCCTTACCTTCTTTTACTATCAGTTGTCATTTACTTACTGCCATTATATTAAAGAACCCACCGAACCCAAAAATTTCTCCAAAACACAAAGGGCTACATAGACTAAAAAATAAAGAGTATCTGCTAATTGGAGCAACAGAGGAGTAGTGGGGTAAACCATATGACTGGAATACAAATACAAAGGTAATGCCTTGTTCAAGGAGGTATTAGGGGGAGGAAGAGAGATGGCCTTGTTTTCTACACACCTTTTCTGAAGCTGAGTGTGCTACAGAAGTGCTGCTTTGAGAGAAGCCCCTGGGCACGATGAGAGGAAAGAAGCTGGGCACTGTCCTGGTGAGGACCTCCTACAAAACCCAGTTCATGAGACAGAGGAGCTTTGTGCAATCAGCCAGCAGAATCACCCAAGAGCATGGCAATGGGACACCCCATTGTGCAAGAAGGACCCCAACAAGGGATGTTTCCGGGAAAACATTGTGACAAACTTTGACGTGGAAGATGGAGAAACCATCTGGAATAGGAGTGCTTCCCCGTGTGGCTCCAAGAGACAGATAAAAATACTTGTGATTAGGAACACGGGAGGCAACTTGGATAAGGGTGATAACTTTAAATTGGATGGTTCGCGCAAAGGGAAGGACAGAGAACAGCGAACATAACCAACCTCCAGGATGAGGGAACTGGGAGAACTGTTATGTTGGATCACAAAGGAGTAGTTCATCAGGAAAAAAGGAAATAGGAAGCTCAGGGTTCTTCAAAGGCTTGATAGCCACCAAATGTCAACTACTCTGGTGTACAGGAAGGAAAAGGAAGTACTGCAAGAGATTAATTTGGATAAAGCATGAGTTTTATTTGACCTGAAATAAAAAAGCAGCATTCAGAAAGCAGAAAGGTAGGTCAGGTGGAGAATTTTGTCAGAACCAAAAAAACCAGCAAACCAAAAACACCCCGAAAAACAAAGAGGTGTTAAGGATGGTGAAAAGCTCTATAAACATACTAATGGTATAACAACTGAGGAAGGTCTTGGCCTTTTCCATGGGAAAGGATGGAGCCTGACACAGCCAACTTCCCTTCCGGAGGAACCAGCAACCAACAAGCGGGTCTTGGGGCTGAGAATTCCCGTGGTCTCCTCGGTTCGGACTCGGCTGCAAACCCAGCACTTGCAAATGAGCCTTTGCTCTACAAACACCTGCTGGCTCTGTCTGAGGGGGTCTCAGCCCTCAGCACAGAGGTCCCACAGCGCCCTGTGTCGGGGCGAGGCGTCCCAGGGCCATGGCAGGGACTGGAGCACTCCTGGGAAAACGCCTTTCCCTCGCTGCTTCCCAGGATGAGCAGCCGAGACCGGCCTGGGACAGGCTGCGGGGCGGGCGCTTTCCCGCGGCACAGGCCTGCGAGAAAGGAAGTGATTATACGTGTCCCTTCCTCCCATCCGCGGGACAACCTCCAGACCCCTTGGTCCCCTTCCCATCCTCGTCCCCCCCCGCCGGGACCCCCCGCGCACTCCGGGCAGGGGACGCCCCCCCATTGGCCGCGCGCGGCCCGTCCGCTGCGCTCCCATTGGCCTGGAGCACCGCGGCTCCGCCCCGCTCCCCCGCTCCTATTGGCCGCCCGTGCCCGCGCGGCCCCGCCCCGGCCCCGCCCCCAAGGGGTCATTTAAGTTTATGGAGGGAAATAAATAAATAAAGCGGGAAATAGAAAATGCGCAGCGGGCGGGGGGGGCGGGGCGCGGGGGAGCGCAACCGAACCTGCTGCCTGCGGGGCGGGCGCCCTGGCGGCGACCAATCGGCGCCCGGCTGCTGGAGAGAGTGACATCCCCGCGAAGCCAATCACAGCCCGCGGGCGGAGAGGGCGGCCGCTGGCTTTCTAAAATCAGGCCAGTCAGAGGCGCCGATGGTTTGACCGACGTTCACACCTTCCAATAGAAGCGGCGCGTAGCGGGCCGGCTTCGCCTATAGAGAATTAGAGCCGAGCCGCGAGGAGCGGGGCGGGCCCAGGCGGCGGCGCGGGGGGGGGCGGGGCGGACCGTGAGTGGCGGCCCTGGGAGCCAATGGGAGCGGCCCGTCGGGGCGGGGGGGCCCGGGGCCAATGAGGGGCCCCCGCGGGGCGGCGGCGGCCGCCTCTGAAAGTGCCGCGAGCCGGCGGCGCGCGCGGGGGGCGCGGGAAGATGAGAGAGGTACCGGCGCTTCCGGGGTCAGCGCGCGGGCGGGGGCGGGGCCGCGCCGGGACACGCCCACGGGGGGCGGGGCGGGTGAGGGGACGGGGTAGGTGGGGGGTGAGGGGCTCCCGCGTCCCGCAGGAGAGGGAGGGGGAAAGAGAGAGAGACCCTGCTCCGGGAGGGAGAACAGCCCGTGTTGAGGGAGGGGGGACAGCCCGCACACGCCGCCGCCCGGAGTTTTTTCCACCGTCCCGAAAAAAAAGTTTGGCATCCGGCGGGGCCGCTCCCCCGAGGGCGCGCGGCCGGAGAGGGAGAGTTGGCACCGATATTCCACCCCCCCGCTTATCCCCCCCACACTCCCGCGCCACTGCTCCTCCTTCTCCTTCTCCTCCTCCTCCGGCCGCGGCGCTGGGAAAAGTTGGCGGCGCCTGTTTGTTCACGAGGGCTGGGGAGGGGACAGAGATCCCGGAGCCGTCGGGACGCGGTCCTGTGCCATAGGATCTGTGTGCCATAGGATCCTTGTGCTGTGGGACGGCCCTGCTCGAGCAGGGAGGCCGGACCCGATGAACCGCTGTGTTCCCTTCCAGCCTGACCCCGCCTGACCCCCGGGATGGAGGCGGTGCGGGTGCCGCCGCCCGGGATGCCCTGCGGGATGCGGGACCGGGTGGGAGCTGCTCGTCCTCCCCCACTGCAGAGCTCGGCTTCTTCTTTTATTTTTTTTTTTTTTTTTTTTTTTTTTTTTTAATGCCGTGGCCGAAGGCTCGTGGAGCAAATAAGTTGTTCCTCGCTGCTCCTGGTCGAGGCTCTGGCAGGTCCCACCCGAGCGGGACTCCAAAAGCCCCCCCGTGCCTTGTGCTTCCAGCACCGGGCATCGCCCCTCGCAGGGACTCGCTCCCGGGATTCTTTAGCCCCGTCGGCAGGGAGGGGGCTCACGGGTGTAAATCGAAGAAAATGGGTATGTTGGATGAGAGGGAACGCGCCGCCGAACCGCCGGCCGTGTTCCCAGACTTTGCCTCCCTTTGCAGCGGAGTCAGTCGGTGTTTCCCAGGTTAAAAGCCCTCCTGTGTCAGCCCTGTATCCTCTTTGCTGGACGGCAGGTGGGAAATTGTAACAAAGTAAGAGTCGCTGCCTAGTAAAGCAAAGTAATGTGCAAAGCCTGGAGCTGGGCTCTCTCGGCAGAGTAATTATTTGGGAGTGAAAAGTACCGCCATAAAACCTGTTGTTGTCTACAGCTACTGTATCACAGCCCTGAAATCCGAGCGCCTTCCCGGGTCGTTCTGAATACCTGGGATGTACTGTCCATGTAGAAACGATGTGTTTGGAATTTACGGGGCTAAGGTGGTAGAAATGCAGAATCATTTAGCATGCGTGAATCTTGGGGTGCTGTAAAAGAATGGGTAACTCAAGACAAAAATAAATCTATGATACGAAAGTATTGTTACCCTTCTCTCTCTCTCTCACACACACACACACACACACACAAACCACCCTCAGAGGCAAGAGCTTTTTTAGCAGCTAGGCTGTCTTCACAGGATGCAATGAGTACACAATATTAGAGCTGATTGGGAGGATCCTTCCCATCCCAGTGGAAAATGTGGTATTTGTGAAGTTGCAGTTTTCTGCAGAAAAACTGCAGATTCCAGTTTTGCTGGAAAAAAATAAGTTTGATTTTTCTGACCAGAAAATTAAAGTGATGGTTCATGGCTACCTGCCTTGAAGATTTCTGTCAATTCTACTTTCTGCTTGCAAGGAGAAAGCATGGTTAACAACATCTTCCCCTGAGAGACCTCCACCTTTTTATTTTTGGGGTTTTTTTTCCCCTTTCTCCCCCCTTTAAAGGAATTGCTTGGAATTTTTATTCTACAAAGGACATAAGAGCTTTACTTCTTACCCTGAAACAGAACTGAACATTTTTTCATAGGATGAAAATTCCAGTATTTGGCCAGCCCGATTCAAAACTTCTGGAAACTTGGGGCAGATCTTTGGCTTGTACAAACTGGCTAGTTTCATTGTGTTTAGTCCACAGAGGATTTGGCCCTAGTTAATTAATGGTTCACCCGAGGTCATGCAGCAAGTTGATTTTTAAAGCTGGAGACTGAATCCAAAGCTGTTATTATTCAATCCTCTCATATATCTTGAAGTTTACTGCACAACATTATATTTTTCTTAGACAAGCTGGATTAATAAGAACCAGAATCCGCAAGGCTCTGATTACAACTTTTCTTAAAAATCATGTTCTGAAAAATCTATTCAATTGTGATCTTACTAGAAAAGCGAGTAAATATGTTGTAATTAGTGCATAGGTGACACTGACTACTGAGGGAGAGAGAGGCCTGAAAAACTGCTTTTGTTATTTAAACCTTTCTTTCAAAGTACAAAAGCATTTGATTGGCACTTCACTGATTTAATAGTCCATTTGTAATGCAGGAAGAACATTACAGAAAATTTTAGCATTATTTTAAATCTCATCATTTAATCTGTAGGTGTTTTTAAAAAATCCTCATTTCTAGGAGAAAAAAACTTTCTGATAGCATGTGGAATCTGTGCCTAGTCAGTTGTTAAAGACATGAATGCCTTGTGTCTTCCAAAATGAAATGGTTTATGAGTCTTAAAATGTACCTTGTTTGTTGTGTTAGCACAAAAAGAAAATAAAATAAAAATCCTTTTGGCCGAGGATTTCGTGGTTGCTCTTACTATGTTATAACATTAGGAATGGAACCCTAAGCCCCCTGCTTTAAAATCAGGGTTGCCAGCATTCAGACTAAAGGGGAGAACAATTCAGATCCTGTGCGGCAGTAGTGCCAGATGTACAAGATACAAGCTAGCTCATTCAATCATCTGAATTTATAGAGGTGGTCTTTCACCTGTACTTGCATAAAGATGCTTTGTGAAAGTTGAATTATTTCCTGTTTTACACATGGGGAAGATACAAAGGCAAGAAATCCGAACAGATTGGCTGCACACACCCCTTCCCCCTCCTCTATATTTCTGATTTTCAGAGGAAAATAAGATTTCATAAAGTTCATAAAGGCTTGCCTCTGCCTTCTGAGCATTTGGGGAGTGGCTTTGTTGTTAAAATATTATGTAGTAGAAAGATCCTGAATTAAACAGCACGGAAATGACTTCCCAATGTCAAAGAGCAGTCAGTGACAGAGTTTGAACAGACCTTCTGCCTCCCAGGCCACAGCTGCACCTATTGGCTTCATTGTCCCATCCCTCCTACGCACATGCATGCCTGGCATTGTTTTGGAAATACAGCAGAAACTTGATAATTCAAACTGATGACTCGGAGAGCCACTTGTGGAATTAATTTATTGGGTAAATTAATGACTAGGTATGCAGGCAGATAAAAAAAAAAGATGGTGTGTCATAGCGTATGATTTGTTCTGTTACCTCAAACAGTGTGATTTATTTGTCACTGCATTAATTGAGTATCCTGGAGAATGTTTTGTTTGAAATTTTATAAGTGAAGTCTTAAAAAATCTCAGCATGGTCCTGTCCTTGTTAGGGAAATCTGTGAGGGGAATTGGGGTTTCAGCTCTTCAATGAGGAGTTGTAATTTGGATTAGAAATTAATCCATAGCACCTATTTTATGGCACAGGATTTATAGCATGCCGCAGAGGTTAAACCATAGCCTCAGTATACTGATCTGTGCTGTAGGCTTATTTGATTTCGGCAGGGCTGCCTGCCTAAGACAAATAGGATTTGATCCTTGCTGGGTAACCTTGGTCAAATTCCAGGCGGCCCTCAAGACTTGCTATTTCCATCTTGGTATTAGAAAATAAGTGTGTTCTTTCTGTTTATTTTTCACAGGGCCTCGGTATTGTTCAGTATAGTTTGTCATGTGAGGCTGTAAATCCCTTCAAGCGAGGTGGAATTTTAGATTTGCAAACTGTTCCCAAATGATCGCATGTGTATCCTGAAGGAAAAGGCTGTCCTCTAGCCAAGTATGGACAGAACTTACTGAGTTTAGCTCATTAAGATTCCAGAGTGACTGCAGATATTAATGTAGAAGATGCTATGGGGAAAAATAATTATTTTTAATTCGCTCAAAGTACCAGATTAATATTAAGTAAGCAGAATTCATCTGTAATTGCCCAAGAAATCTTACCAGCAGTTTAAGCTCTCTGAAGAGCTATTGCAGAAAGTGTGCACAAATCATTACAGTATTGACAAACAAACAAAAAAAATTAGTGTCTCAAATTGGCAGCTTTTAGTAAACTTTGCTTGTTTACCCTTACACAGGCATGCTGACCCTTGATCTTGGGTATCAGAGCAAATCAAAATTCAGTTCTTTAATTTTCATGTATACATTGAGATGAATCATTGGGCATTTCTGAAGCAGAAGAAAATAGTTGCCATTGATTGTTTTTCACAACCAGAGGTGATTTTGGAAGGTCTGTGTTGCTTCAGGAGGTCCCATGTTTGTGGCCTGATCAGGGTGAGCAGAAAAAAAAAGATTTTGGGGTGTAGATTGTTTTGTGCTTACCGATATCAGTAGGTCTCGGGTTCTACTCTCATTTTCCCAGATATTTGTGAAAGATACCTCAAGGAATACCAAAATACAACACTTTGTTATTAAATTTTCTCATAAGGGAAAGTTCTGATTCTGGTTCTTGTAACTGCTTATTCAAAGAAATAATTACTCCTTCCTCTTTCCTTAATTTTTTAATCCAATATGGGGTCCAACTCAGTTATTGCTTCTTATGTTTTCACAAAAGCATGTTGAAGACTGAGTACTTGTTTACTGTTTTGGGTTCCTGGCTTAAGACTTGGGCATCACGAAGCTCTCTGCTCTGCCACAAATAGCATATTTGACTTTAGGGAAAATTGCTCAGTCTTTGTTTCCTATCTGTACAACGGGAATAATACCATGTGCTGTCATCACAAATATTTGCAAAG